AAGAGCGAAACTCCGTCTCAAAAAAAAAAAAAAAACAAAAAAAAAACCCATCAATGGGGCCGGGCGCAGTGGCTCACGCCCGTAATCCCAGCACTATGGGAGGCCAAGGCCAGCGGATCCCCTGAGGTCAGAAGTTCGAAACCAGCCTTGCCAACATAGGAAAACCCTCCCTCTACTAAAAAATACCATAATTAGTTGGGCTTGGCGGTGGGCACCTGTAGTCCCAGCTCCTCCAGAGGCTGAGGCAGGAAAATCGCTTGAACCCGGGGGGCAGAGGTTGCAGTGAGCTGAGATCGCGCCACTGCACTCCAGCCTGGGTGACGAGACGGAAACTTCATCTCAAAAAATAAATAAATAAATAAAATAAAAGCCAAAAAACCAAACACCATTAATGGGTCCTGTTGGGACTCCCCAAGGCTGGGAGCGAGGTTAACGGAGGTCCACCAAAGACCAAATGAGCTCATGCTTAGCAAGACCCCATTCACCTTGGAGCTGACCAGCCCCTGGTTTTTAGGGCAACGTGGGGGTCACCCTGGATCTTTGGGCCAACCTTAAAAAGTGGGAAGCCACCAGCCAGTGTGGCCGACGAGAAACGGGAACCCAGACGGGCAAACGGCGGCCACGCTGCGGCATATGCTGTTGGTACCTCTGCGTTATGCAGGATTCAGAGGCTCAGAGGGAGGAAAACTGATCAACTGGTGATGCCTCCCTCGGCGTGGATGAGACAAACAGGGATCAATTAATAATGCCTGCGTTGGCCACAGGACTGGAAACATGGATTGATTAGCAATGTCTGCCTGCCACCTGTGTGGAATCACACGGTGATAGACTGGTCATGTCTGCCACGGGCAGAGGGCTGGTAGGTGGGAAGCGCTCTTCAAATCGGAAGCCGTTTTCCACGCCAACTACAGAGTTTCTCATCCTGGTTACCCGGAGACGGAAGAGGGGTCCCCCAAGGTCGGGCAGCCAGGCCCCATGCAGGTCCTTACCTTTCTTGATCTTGGGGGCGGGGGTGATGGAGCTGCCATTGGTGTTTGTGGCCAGGCCCAGGGAGGACACGGGCAGCTTGGGCGAGGAGAGCATGCTGTGCGCCCCGCCCGGCGAGTAGGCAAAGAGGGAGCCCCCAAAGCTCTGGCGCCGGCCCTCCCGACGGTTGCTGTCTATGGCTGCCTGGAGCTCGTTGGGGTTACTGAGGCCTCGCTTCTCACACTCATAAGGGTACAGGTACTTCATGTATCTGTGGGTGGGACGAGGGGACAGAATGGCACCCGGGTCACCCCTGCGGCTCCCTGTGGCCTTCAGTACAAAGTAAATCCCACTGTGGCACCACCATGCCTGGCTCCGCCCTTGGATTTGCTCAGCAGGCCCTGGAGCCGCTGGGCCTTCGCCCACGCTGTTCCCTCCACCTCAATGCTGCTCCCTGCACCTCAATGCTGCTCCCTGCGCCTCAATGCTGCTCCCT